GTTTCTTTCTGAATCAAACATTTTTGAAAACTTTTTGTGAATCTTTTCCAATTTGATTTTATTTCTATAGGTAAAACTGAAAACCATTTTTGAGCTGCGCCATCAAGTGTGGTTTGATTTAACGCTGTACGTCTATGTATCCAATTTTGGTGAAGTGGCGTATTTATGGAATAGGTCCTATGACGACGTTAATTCAAACCACACTTGATGGCGCAGCTCAAAAATGGTTTTCAGTTTTACCTATAGAAATAAAATCAGATTGGAAAAGATTCACAAAAAAAAATTTTCAAAAATGTTTGATTCAAGAACAAACAAACAACATCAATGAAATTCGTAGACTACCAAATAAAACGATCAAACAACTTGCAGTAAGTATCGAAACGCTAGTCCAAAAAGCATATTCACAAAATACTCATGATTATAAAAACAAAAAAAGGACAGAAATTTTAATGATGACTCTAACACCTCGAAAAATTGCAATTAAAAAGAGAGCATCGCATAATTTCTCAATTTGAGAACCAGAATTAGATTTTAGAAAACTAGTAGATAAACTAGAACAAGCAGAAATCACTATGAAACTAGAAGAAACAGAAAATCTCAAACTACAGTACGTTAAAAAAATTCAAACAACAACAACACAAATAAATAATTTACATAAGTCAGACACAGATTTATCCGCAAAATCACCATAATCCTAAATATATATGAGAAAACCCAAATTTTAAAGGTAAATCATCATTTAAAAAATAGTGTAACTTTTGCAAGACAATCAAAATAAACCACAAAAATACAAAGAACCAAATAAATCATTCTATCAATACATGAAAAAAGACCAAAATCTACCAAACAAAAACATTCATAGTAACAATAGTTCTGGAAAACCACTACCAAATAGCTCAAAACAATCACGAAATCAATCACTTTATAATTCAAACTACAGAGGTAGATCACCAGTTAAAAAAAACGTTTCGCGAAATCCCTCACAAAATTGATATAGACGATCACACAGTACAAATAACCATTACCAAAATGATTATTCCCGATCAAACTCAAACAGACAGAATTACTCGTTTGATACCAGTTCCCATTCACACCCTAGGAATAAACACTATTGAATTGATAGATCAAGAAACTCATCATACCATAGACACAGAAATTATTCCAACAATAGGAACAGAAGTTACTCAAATAATCGAAATCAGCAATATAATAATCGATCACGAAATTACTCAAACAGTAGATCAAATCACCAAAGATCAAATTATAACAATTATCAAAATAGATCTTGAGATAATTCACAAAATAGGAATTCAACCTATTACAATAGACAAAGAAACTACTCTCAATCACCTCATAGAAATAACACACGTTATCCAGATTCTCTAAACAAATATAGAAGTAATACACCAAAACATCAGAGACAAACTAATCAAGCACAAACAACCGATGAAACAAATTCAGACCCCCCCTGGTTTTGATAACATAGAGACTACTGAGTTACAATTAAATCACATAAACTGTGAAGCCACAGACAGTGACAGTGATATAGAAAACACACTTTTAGTCAACATGATAGAAGTTGAAAATGATTATGAACCCGTTACATACGAACAACCTTTTCATTCACAAAGTTACGAAAATCAATCGGAATTACTCTTAGATTATCATACAAGACCTAAAAGTAAAAACATACCAATAGAAAAATAGTAAATGAAGTAACAACATCACGACAACCTGAAAAAAAAACAAACACCATGTTCTGGTACAAATCACATTTACCAAAATATACCAAAAAACCACCAAATGAAAAAATTTGGACAATTCCCTTTCTCGTAGAAAATCCAAAAAGTAAGGATTTTCAACCACCAGACCTTGAAATGGATTTTTTAATTGACTCTGGAGCAGAATCAAATATCATAAAAATTCCAACTTGGGATGAAATCAAAATCCTACACCCAAGCCTAACACCCATAAAAACAAAAAGTAGACTAGCAACAGCACAAGGCTCAACCCTAACAAATTATGGAAAAATTCAATTTTTCCTTGTTCCCACTAAAACAATGGAACAAAAAAAAATTCTCAATAAACCAATTAAACGAATATTCTATATCACAGATATAAAACACAATTTTATTAACATTTCATTCATCACAAAGTATATACCTTTAATTAATATATTACATAGTAAAATTAAAATAAAAGATAAATATACAAAAATGCAGAACACCGCTTTAACATTCTTTCAAAGTTTGAACAATTAACCACCATTCTTTTCAAAATTTTATCCCATCTATAATAAAGAAAGAAAACATCTCAAACCACTATCAGGTTATATTTATGAATTTCCGATAAAAACAAGTTCACCAGTACGGCAAAAATTAAAATTGACAACATATGTCAGACTTTGAATTTAGACCAATTCACAAATTTGTTAGATTAACCATTTCATCCATAAAATACATGAAAAACTCAAACTCCGATATTATTTCTCTACAAAAGTATAACAATTCACCATACAAAATCACCTTACCCTTAGGACTCTTAGGATATTGCGAAACTAATGCAACAACTTCTCCCACAAAAGAAGTAGCATACAGAGTGAATAATATTTTACAATACTAGATATATGTCAGTCATCTAGAAAAAAATTATCAAATTTTACAGAACGAAAACATGAAAGCAGCCCCAGATAAATCACATTTTTTCTTGACACGCGAAAAATTTTTTGGACACATCATAGAAAAAGACACTATAACCCCACTGAAATCACGAATTGATGCAATTCAAAAACTTCAACCACCAACAAATAAGAAGAAAATACATGAAATTTTTGGAATGTTAAAATTCTTAAGTAAATACGTATATAAAATGCAATTGTACTTAAGACCATTTTACAACACTCTTCGACAACAAAATAACTTTGAATGGACAACAGAACATCAAAAACGATTTGAAGAAATCAAAAAACTTCTCACTGAACAGACTTCAAATACAATCCCAGATCCAAATCAACCATTTTTTACAATGCGCGATGCTTCATTTTTTGACATCGGAGCAGCATTATTACAATCCAGCAGTTCCAACAGTGGAACAAATAAGATGAAACTTATATCACAAACTCTCGCCTAATTACACAAGCTGAATTACGACTCTCTACCCTTATGAGAGAGTGCACAGCTAACATACATACCTCAACAGAATATAATTTTTTGATATTTCGATCCAAAAATCCAACAATTTTGTTTATAGACCATAAACCTATCATAATATTTTTTACACAAAAATCAAATCCAAACTATAGAGTTTATAGATTTCAACTAATCCTAATGAAATTTCCAAACTTACACATAGTATTGACAGCAGCAAAAAACCTTGCACTACCTGATACCCTTAGTAGAAATACACCACCTTAACTAAGACGCTTCATTCGATACAACACTATCTACATTACCCGAAACACTTTTTCTTCCCTCAACACCCTCTTTAAGCCAAATATCACCATCAACTTTTCCCCTAAACTTCCCTACCAACCTTGATTCACGATATCAAGAACAATCATCTCAAAATATACCACTACGATTGGATTGGAATACATTCGTAGCACCCCCACAATTATTTGGTAAACATCAAGAAAGAAATAGACTACACAACTGGGCATTAAACAGATTACAATATCGACACGATATTCAAAAAGATATACAAGAACATAACATCCAAATACTACAACAAAACAGTCTCACACTAAAAATCGAAATTACAGTTAGACTAAATAACATTGTCCATTTCCATTAGACCCACCAAATTTCACAGTTCGTTCTTTACCTCCCCCATTTCTAACAACAGAAATAAAATATAAATACGATAGATATACATAAAAGACAATCGGATACATAACCTTTTATAATCCATATTCAGGATTGTCATCAACATGCATATTTTAAAGATATTCACATTTCACTACCTCCTTTTTCTCATTTTTTCCGAACCAAATCAAAATCCTTCTCCTGGCACAGGACCCCAAGATTTATTAATAACACACTACGGTTGTGAACAAAAAATACTACCCAAAAATGCTATCAATCAAGTCACACAATGTGAATCCAAACCACAAGCTATAGAAACAACAAACATAATAGCTACATTATACTCAAAAGCACGAGCGACAACACTAACAGCATACAAATAAGCAACATTTTCCGAAAAGAAAGTACATTGTTCACAAGTTTCAAACGGAAATAAAAATAGATTGGATCACGAATCTTTCTATCAAAGTAATATGGAAAGATTACTACAT